TATATTCAAACGCAATTTAACTTATTTCAATCGTTCTTGCTCGTGTATCTTATGGCGGTGAATCCTTTTCTTATTAGTTGGTTGATAAATTCTTTCATTCATTTTATTTTTACTTTTTTTGTCATTATTGATGATTTCTTTCTAAGTGCTTTTACTTACCTCACAGGCTCACATAACCTTGGGTATTCTTGGTGGTCCACTCGTACGTTTCCAACAGTCATATAACCCAATAATAGTCATCTGGTTTCACCCATACGATCCTGTTTGAGGTTTTTCTTTTTTCTTTTTTCGACTGCGCTGTGCTTAACAATCTTGTTTGTATTGATGTTGCCCCCACCTTAGTTATTCTCTCAGCTTCTCCAAACACCATTTACCAAATTAAGATCATTTTGGGCCCAAGATGGTTTCACATACTACGAAACATTAGGCCCATAGCCCCTTAGAAAAACAATAATGGCATAATGACAACCCTACCCGATGGATTTGTTTTTATAGCCCGTAAATACATGAAATGTGTGCGTAAAAATTGTTCTGTTCGTTCTTTTTATTTTTGTGTCTTGAAATAGTTTATGAGGAAAAAAAATGTGTTTGATAACATATCATATATTTATTCTGAGAATCATAATTATGTTTCATAACACAACAATAATAGATTAAAAAATTCTTTCCCTACATATATATGGGTAAGGATAATTATACACCGATATAAATTTCACTTTCAATCTTGATCGTTGATCTTATTTATATGTAACAATTCTGATTTACTAGATAAATAAGTCATTAGATCAAACCAAATCAATGGTCAAAATCTAGTGTAAAACTTTTTACTCTTGTACTGGTGTAAGAATAATTTGTCCATATATATATATATATATATGATAACATTATTTCTGCAGCCGCTTTACGTACAACAACGACAGGTGTATGGTTATGATTCCCAACATTTAATGCTTTCAAATATATATATGGCAAGTATTTAATTGCTGCACGTTCAGCAGCTATAGAAAAGTAAACCTATATATATATATATATATATATATATATATATATATATATATATATATATGAGGAATAAAGTTGCACTTTCCAAAATGATAATATAATATTTTAATTTTAATTACCAGTTCAGTAATGTTTTATAATTTATATGTAAATAATAGATTCAGATAATAATATGCTTGAAATAACTTCAAAAGCATAAAAGAAAGGATGGAAAAAAAGAGTGAATTCTTATTCTCCTATAAGTTTCGATTGCCTGGAGAAAGTAATGATAGATATGATAAGAAGTTGGATAAAATTATGAAAGGATAAAAGCGTGATCAACTCATAATCTATCATGTCTTATTTTTTCTTATCTTCTGTTTGAAGACAATATATTAATGAGTTTGTTTTTTATGATGTTATTTTAGATAACTTTATCTAATGTTCATCAAAACGACGTCGTCTTGGGACGGAAATCATGGTATTTTTGTAATTTTAATTTATCTCAGGGTTATAATAGTCTTTATCACTCTAATTTTTTAATTTTTCAACCTCAAAACGACGTCGTTTCGATGAACATTAGATAAAGTTATCTAAAGTAACATCGGAAACTTTTTCCCTTATATTAATAGACAAAATTATCATATATGATATACTTTCACAAAACTTATTTGAATTATCTTTTAAACTTTTTTTCTTTCGACTTAATTTTAGATTCGATCCTTTTTAAAATAAATAAATATAAACATCATATTTCAAATAAAATATAGAAAATAACTTATGAAATTTCTCAAAATAATTAAAAAAATATTTTTATCAAATAAAATTTAAATTGATTATCTACTTTTATGTACATAACAATAGTTTGGATAAAGTTCAAGATTTGTTTTTTCGGTAAAAGTTAACATTTTTTAAGCACGTGTATTAGGGGAGCAGGGGTTAATGGTGATGGTGGTGATTAGTGTTGGACCGGTGGTGGTGAAGCGATGATGATAATGTTGATTGGTGGTTGGTGGCAGCAATCTTACCTAAGTTGGGGGTAAAGGGTTAATTTTATGGGTTTAATATTTTTGTTTTTGTTGGAGAAAAATTTCTCTATAATCCTAACATAAAAATGAGTGAGTTCCATTAGTGAAACCTATTAATGGAATATTTTAGAAGAACAACAAAATTTTTAAGTGGGACCCACAAAAATAAAAAAGAATAACGAATAACACTTCAATGGAGGGAACAATGACCAGTGTATCGCACATTGGTCAAACTTTTACCATTGTGGCACACGAACAATGAAATTTGCCAAAATATCATGTGTGCAAGTTCGCTATATCAGGTAGCGAACTACGTTTGTTGATGTGGCGTCTTTCTGATAGCCACTGAGGCGTCTTTCTGATAGCCACTGAAAGTAGTGAACTAAGTGATAATTAATGACACTCTACTCTAACTATTTGCCAGGACATGTGGCATGCATAGAGAAGTTCGCTGCATAGGACAGTGAATTAGGTGCCAAAAGTATGCCATTTTCCAGCATCTCACCTAGTTCGTTGCTTGAGCCAGCGAACTATATGCCAAAAGGACACACGTGGCATCCCCCTACAAGCTTGCTGGGGTAAAAGTGAACTATGAGTGTCTGACACGTGGTGAAGTTCGTTATATGTCATAACGAACTCATATGTTATAGTGAACTATGTGTTATAAATACCCAACCCACCCAACATGGTCTTTCTACATTCCATTTCTAAAAATCTTCGTCCCCTTTTTTTAAGAACCTATGTCATCTTCTTATTTCTTCTATTTGCAATTTGACATAATAAGTGAAAGTAACAATGATTTAATCACTATTGTATATTATAATGGGAGGAGATATTTTTTATCGAACGGTCAAGTTTTTGAATAAGATACAAAAAAAAATTAAAAAAAAAGCTTCAACCTTTATTATATTGCCTCCATTCAATATATTTTGTTTTATTGAAAAGTGAAAGATATAAAAAATAAAATGAAATGAAAAGTGAGAGTTGACTGATAAAGTATGAACTAATTTCTTATCAACTTCTCTGTGCAGCCCTCACCAACACCATTGTCCCTAATAAATGAAGTCTCAGTCATAGCCCATCCCTTAAACTGCAATTGCAATTGCAAGTAACTTATCACAGTATGTAACAGTTTAACAACATCTCAGCCCCACATTTTTTTTTAATTAAAACTATTTTAAAACTCTGAAATAGATTCTGCACATAATTTTATGAGAGTAACAACCATTAAGCACTTTTTTATGGGTAAAGTATTTGTTATTTTAAATGACATAAAATTATGTCACTTTAAGAGAGATACAAATACAGAAAGTTTGAATTTTAAATTAAAAAAACCACCCATTTTCTCTCTCCCATGATTTCTGTTTTTCTGTGTCTATCTCTCTCCTAAAATGACATAACTTATGTCATTTAAAATGATAAACACCAAACCCTTTTTTTATATACAATTTTTTTCTTCAATTTTTTTGTTGGGGCCCGCCACCCCGGCCCACCCTAATTTTGCCTATGATGTCATGGAAATATTTTTTATGTTCCAGGATCACCTAATAATTTGGCGCTCCCTCTCACAATACCAATTTTTTCTTTCTCTTTCTACTAGGGGTGTAAATGGGCCGGGCTTTGGCCTTCCTGGCCCAAGCCTACGTCAAAAAAAAGTCAGCCTATCTGGTTTATTGACATATTAAAGGCTTTATTTGTAGGTCAAGCCCGACCCATTTTTAAAAATAAGAAAGCCTGACATGGCCTACAGGCCTTGTAGGCCTCCCACTGCAGATACTAAGCAAAAAAAATAATTGTATAGAGCAAAGAAAGTTCCATTTATACATGCACTAGTACTTCTCATAAGAAAAAAATGACAAACAAGAAAGAGTCAACATAATACTCCAGCTCTAGAATGTATATCATAAAGGAATAGAGTCAAAGAAATGGGAAAAATAAGAAAAATATAATTACTGGATGCTTTGGTGTTGGTATTGGTATTTAGTACTTTGCGTGTACAGGAGAAGCGTCAGTACACATAAAAATTAGGGTTGGTATTGGTATTTGGTACTTTGCGTCTTTGACACATAAAATAAATATTATTTTATTATTTTATTTTAATAAATTAAATAGGCCAGCCTACAAGGCTGTAGGCCGAGCTTAACAAAATTGGCCTATGGCCTATTTGTTAAAAAAGTTTTTTTATAAGCCTAAGCCTACTCTATTTTTCTGAAAGGCCGGATTTGGGCTGGGCTCAATGTAGGCCAGCCGTAGACTGGGCTGGGCTAGCCTGGCCCATTTACACCCCTACTTTCTACCCCTGTTTTTTTTTTTTTTTCTCAATTTTATCCTTTCTTTTACATTAAGGGACTACCTAAAAAATAATCATCGCGGAGCATAATAAATTCTGTCGTGATGTCATATGAACTTTAAATGTGTGAAACTTTTCTTTTTCAATCCCAGAGTTTTGATGTGTGTATCTCATTTCACAAAATTTCGAAATACATAACCTGTTGATTGTGTCGTTTTAAGGAAAAGTTTAATTAAAGAGAATGTTAAATTCTTTTATAATAAAAAAAAAAATTCTTCAAAAACAAAACTAGAAATCAAACAGAAAACTCATACCAAATAAGTTTTTTAATTATTTTTTAAATTAAAAAGCTATTCATGCATGTGAACCCTTCCTTCGCTCGATTCTAGTATGACCCAACTCCCCTCAAATCCTAAGAATAATTAGGGTCATACGATAAAATAAAAAATAAAAAATAGATGCCTGGATGCACAGATCCAATAGTTGATTAAAAATAAAAGGTGTTGTACTTAAATTAAGTAATTAATAAAGTGAGTTATTTCCGGAGAATAAAAAAACGAAAAAACATCTTAGAAAGAGAAAGGTGATGAAACAATGTCGACACTATCGCGCTCATTTCATTGCAAAAAGTCCAAACCGAAGCATCCACATCCTCGTATCGCCCCCTCTCTCTCCTCAATATGACGACACTCCTCTTTCTTTCGCCAACACCGATCCAGCACTTGATGATGCCCTGCACAAATTCCCAACCCCAACCTTCACCTTTTCTTGTTTATAATTATCAAATTGAGTTTCTCTTCAGCCTACAACCCTACCCATCTTTTCTTTTTCCCATAAATTTTGTCTCACTTCCATGTTCTTTATTGAGGTTTGTTCTCCCTTTCCCCTGTTCTTCTTTTTTCTTTATTCTGCACTGCTTTCAATATAATCGGTCTTTTTTTTTTTTATTTCTTTTTCTTCAGGATCTCTGGCCACTGCTCTGGCACCTCGTTGAAAAAGTTCATCTCTTCTCAGGTAATTCTTTGAATCAAATGGTGTCCACTGCATGTCTTTTTATTTCATGCAATTTGAAAGTAACAAATTCAATTTTCTTAAAGTGGAATAGGTTATGGAAAACCCACACACTCAAAATTAGAGAAAAGATTGCAAGTTCTAATCTTTACAATTCGCTCGCATAGCTCAATAAATTATCATTAAAGGGTTTCTAAAATCTTTGGGCTGGTGCTTTTCCCAAATAGAAAAAGCATCGTTTTTCCAATATCTACCCGAATCGATGACGAACTCAACCTGCGGAGGCACCGAGTCAGAACTCTGCCGAGACGAGTCAGCCGCATTCGTCCTCAAATTCGTGGCGATCGCATCCATTCTGTTGGCGGGCATGGCCGGAATCGCCATCCCACTCATCGGAAAACACTGCCGGTTCCTCAGCACCGACGGTAACCTATTCGTTGCAACAAAGGCTTTCGCGGCGGGGGTGATTCTCGCCACCGGCTTCGTCCACATGCTATCGGACGCTTCGGATGCGCTCAACAACCCGTGCTTGCCAGCATTTCCATGGTCCAAGTTTCCATTCACGGGGTTCTTCGCCATGATGGCAGCGCTCTTCACCCTCCTCCTTGACTTCGCCGGAACTCAGTATTACGAGCGCAAACAAGGGATCAACCGGGCCAACGAAGAGCAAGCACGGGTCGGGTCATCCGAACCGGACAGGAATAGCAAGGTGTTCGGAGAAGAGGAAAGTGGTGGAATGCATATAGTAGGAATGCATGCACACGCGGCGCACCATAGACACAACCACTCACATGGTAACGACGCATGCCATGGCATTAGCATTAGCATCAAGGAACACGGCCACGCGCACGGGCACTCCCACTCCCACGCAAATGAAGGTGATGTTGGGGAAGAAACTGACGTTCGACACGTCGTCGTTTCGCAGGTAACTGTATGCGTTATTTTATAGTTTTTTTTTTTTTATTATTTAGAAAATCATTGTTATTGTGCTTAGTATACACGTGTGCAATGTAGGTATTGGAGCTTGGGATTGTATCACATTCGGTGATAATTGGGTTGTCGCTAGGAGTGTCACAAAGCCCTTGTGTGATAAGACCACTAATTGCTGCATTATCATTCCATCAATTCTTTGAAGGGTTTGCACTTGGAGGGTGCATCTCGCAAGCTCAGTTCAAGACATCATCAGCGACAATAATGGCTTGTTTTTTTGCACTAACTACGCCGGTGGGTGTTGGGATTGGAACAGGAATTGCTTCGGTGTATGACCCTCATAGTCCAGGTGCACTCATAGCGGAAGGTATCTTGGATTCCTTGTCAGCGGGGATTTTAGTGTATATGGCTTTGGTAGACTTGATAGCAGCTGATTTTCTTAGCAAAAGAATGAGTTGTAACTTTAGGTTGCAGATAGTGTCTTATTGTATGCTTTTCCTTGGGGCTGGTTTGATGTCTTCGCTCGCAATATGGGCCTGAGTCCTGACCCTACCCCAATATATATGTTGTTCAATATTCATGTGTGTTTCGTTTTCTTTCTTTAATGCGGTTCTCTTCATTTTCGAATAGCTAAGGCACAGTTGGTTCCCCTGAACAACCGAAGCCCACTAAATTCATTTTAGCATGCCAGATTAGGTTTATGTGAGAGCCGGTGATAGTGGTGGCTCGCCGATTACTAAAGTAACTGTTGGCGACAGAGAGAAACGGCTTAAAAACAAATGTATCTGTTTTTGCTTCATTTAAAAATAATTTCACTTTATATAAGAATTTTTTCTCAGTTAAATGAGGTTGTTGTGCGATGGACTTTGAATTTTCTATTTTTTGTATATCTTGTTTTTTAATAAAAAAATTACATATGTTTTAGGTTTCGATTTTTGGATAATTTTTTTTTATATAAATTAACTTCCGTGGATAAATACTGTTGATTTAATTTCCCTGTTTATTTTCTTCCCTATTACTTTGTTCCCCCCACACGCGAAAAAATGGATCAATGGCTTTAAAGACAGTTGAGTAAATGATATCAATGATTGAGTTTATATCTCAACTCATAATCTTAAATTATATTTTCATACTCAAAATCTTAAATTTTATTTCCATTTATATGGTAGAATGAGAGAAACTGGACCCCGAAAGCTTGAATTCAGACAAAATCTGGGTTACTCGTCCTCTGTTTCGGCCCAGGCCCTAAGTTGCGCTCATTCCTAATCCACCAAGCAACGCTGAATTCAATGGGCTGAGATGGTTTAGTATGCTTACTTTTAAAGGTGTTGTCAATTAATGAATAAAAATAATATTTATTATTTTTAAATATTTTTTTTTATATATCTTAATCACGGTAAATAACATGATATTTTATAAAAGTAATTGAATTGTGAGAGTGTATCAAAATTTTCAAAACACCTGTTTTTATTTTTATTTTTTTAGTACAATGTTTTTTTTTTAATTTAAAATAACATTATTGTAGATATGCAGAAGATGATTATACGTTAAATATTTTTTTTTTTGAAAATAATGAATCTAACTAAAATAATTTGTCTACTAGCGAACATATATAAACATGAATGCACACATTTATTCGGCTAAAAATCGTCTGCAGTTTAAAAAGAACTGCATATGATGTAATTTTAAAATCGTATGTCTCATAATTTTCAAACTTTGTTCATAGTTTTTTTTTCTATCCAAAAAAACTTTAAATGTGAGGATTATCCTTAATTTCATGTTTTTCTTAGATAAGGTATAAATGAGCTACTTAAGTTTTTGAACTTGACGGTTCATTAATAATTAAGTGTTTATATTTATTTATCTAACTACCAAATGCATGTATACAAATCTCAATTATACGACATCTCGAGCTCCCTCGACAAAGTACAACGTTATTATTACGCATGTAAGTAATGCTTATTGCTTGGTACAATATTTTGGTGCATATCACATTGCGTGACGTATGAAATTGTGTGAGTGTTATTTAAGTGTCGTAAGATGAGCTGCAATTACTGATATCAATTAGAGTAAATATCATTTTTAGTCTTTAACAAAAAATGCGATTTTTATTTTAGTCCTTTACAAAAATAAATTAGTCAATTAGTCCCTAACAAATTCAAAGTGAATCTATTTAGTTGAAATCGTGGTCCCTCGTAAATTCAAAAAAGATCCATATTAGTCCCTCAAAAGAATTAAAATGGGCCCACCTTGAATTTGTTAGGCACGAATTGACTAATTTATTTTTGTAAGGAACTAAAGTGAGAACCGTATTTCTTGTTATGGATCAAAAATGATATTTACTCTAACAATTATATAAGTGTGAACTGTGAAGAGACATAAGTGAAAGTGATATGTTCCTAAGTCCTAACCCTCCTCTTACGCACGTATATATAGTAGTACTAGCATACTCTTAGACGGTGTTCGTGGTGGTGATTCGGTCAATTCATGCATAAAGGAAGAAGTTGGAAAGCTAACACGTTAGGTTTAATTTTTATTTATTTTTTACGACTTTTTTTATTTCATAATGAGACTTTACATTTTTTATGTAGAGTTAGCTATATAATACCCCAAAAATATATATTATATATATATATATATAAAAATTTAATGTGTGAAGTGCAGATATACATAGTACATGAAAGTGTGTGAGATTTTATGAGGAGAAAAACATAAAGAATAGATTCTATCCACCCATGTACGTGCAGATAAAAAAATTTCTTTTGATTTCAGAAAAAAATATGTAATTTTCGAAATCAAACTTTAAATTTAATATTAAAAAAATTATTAATTTATTTCACTCAAATGAACATACGTTCCTATTCTCAATGTATCCAAAATTGAGTTTCTACGTAGAAATGGAAGGGAATGGTAGAAACGTAAATCATATAAACGAAAAAAATGTAAAATTTTTACTACTTTAGGCCAAGATACAAAATTATATATATGTGTGTGTGTAAAAATATATCACGTAAGTCACTACTCAAAATTTAATGAATAACTTCATATTTAAAATATATAAGTCACATAACTATATAAGACATAAGTTCAAAAACATAAAAAGAGTTTAACAATGCCTATAATTAAGTTTCACAACATCAAAAGAATAAAGTTTAACAACTCTTAAATAAAAATACAGCAACCTCACAAATAATATACTGTGCATTTGATTTGAGAAAATAAAAATAAGGTTTTTTATTTTATTTTATTAAAAATATAAAAATAAAATCATTCATAAGTTAAAAGTTGACCTGATTTGATTTTTTGATTTAAGTAAAAATTTGTGTTTCTACTATTTTTACATTTACACATAATTTTTACCAGTTCTTATTAAAAAAGATTTTTACTTATATTTTAAGACGTATCACCTTATTAAAAACGTAAAAACATAAATTTTTATATTTTTGTTTTTAACAACAATGCCTATACCGCATTCCCCTGAATCGTTTTCAATGTGTCAGACACGTTTGAGTATTAGGGATTGATTAGCGGTCAAATTGACAGCATATTAGTGATCGTTTAACTTATATATGTGTATTGGGCTCTGTTTACAATGTTGTATTTTCTGTGGTTGGTTCAAAATACTTCAAACAAATTTTGTAAATTATATATATCCGTAATTGACCATATATTTACGCATATTAATCTATACCTACATACATAACAAAATTCAAGTTATATGTATAATTAAATCTATTTAATGGTTTTAAATTTTTAGGTCATGCAGGTATATGCAATGCATCCTACTCAGTAAGTTTGTATATATACGTGAGAGGCAGAGAGAAATAAAAATTAAAAGACAAAAAAGCCTTATCTAAAATTTAATTACCGCTTTCAAACTAAGTGGGCATGGAAGAAAAATGATACAATTAAATTAAGAAAATTGAAGCACTGTTAATATTTCCTTATATGTTAAATGTTAATAAATAAATAGTTTTAAAATAATATTAATATAAATATTTTACACATTAAAATAATTTGACTATGATAATTATCATTCATACAATTAATTCTTTAAAAATATGTCAAAATATTTCTAAATAATAATGTAAGAAATTACCATCAACTTTAAAGTTATAAATAAAACGAGATAATTATTGATATAAAATAAATATTTAAATAAAAAAACGATTTATCAATTTCCTTGTTCGTTGTTGTAACTCCATGGGGAGTAGCTAGTTTACGAGGATGCAATAATAGTATACCAAAGATGGCAAGTAATTAAAACAATTAATTGTTAGCAAAACCATATTTTGTTTGCATTTAAAATTTTAATGAGGTAAGGAAAGAACATTAATTTTTTTTAAATTAAGGCACTAAATGATGATTGAGTTGGTTTGGTGGAATTTTTTTTTTTTTTAACTTGCTTAAACTCAAGAGACCTCTACCACTTTTTTTTTTTTAGAGTTAACCCAATTTTAATTAATTTTTTTGAGGCGATTTGACTCTATCCGATATTCTAATAAGCTCTGACTCTTTGAGTCTTCTATAAGACTAATTTAGAGTGCGGGATGAGTCGGGGATAATTTATGTTTTAAAATGTTAACGTAACTTACAAAGATCGGTCATACTTTGTATAAATTATCTAAAATGACACAAACTTGTGTCATACTTCTTTTCTCTATAAATTTATGTTTTAAATGTTAACAGTAACTTACAAAGTTTTTAATGCTTCTTATGTTATAGGAGATAATTTTATTTTTTACATATACATATACATATATTTTTTTCCCCTCATAATCCCATATATGTTTTTGTATGCGTAGAATGAAAAATATTAATCCTAATATACATATATTTAAATCACACCAAACTTTTATACGAAATTGGGTCGACGCAGCACTTATGTCATTTGCCCTTTGCTATATTTTCCATCACTGTCACATGTCCAAAATGTGCATCAGATTAAATCGTAAGGGAGCGGAGTCGAAATCATCACTATTGGGGAAAGGGTAACAGCAGAGGTGATAGACCGTCGGGGTAGGAAAACTTTATCCCCATGTGCGAGGCTGAGCGGACAACCATAACCGATAGTCCGATACTTTCGTCATATTGTGATTCCCCAAAAGAAGCAGAGTTTTAAGTTTGAAGTCCACAGCATCAACACCTGCCACGTCAAGATTCCACGACTACCGCAATGCCAGCGTGGCATCGCACTTTCTTCACTTTTTTTTTTTTTAAATTTTCAGCCTCTGTTGCTATCTATTTAGCAATTAACAATTTAGAAAGGCTCAGAATCAGCGTTGACGGTTCCTGCCTCAGAGACAGAGAAATAGGTTTTCATGGAAGAAACTCCTGACTCAACCGAAACTCTCACCGGAAAGCTCAACGAGCTTCTCGCCGATACGGAAAACGATGGGGGACAGTTTTGTTTCGAAGAAGAAATGATAGAGGAGGTCATGCAAGAGTTTTACAAAGAGATCGTATACTCACCTCTCCCAAAACCACCTTCTCCGATAACAACGCCGTTAATGCCGTCACCTTCTTATTTTCCAAAGGCCAAGGTGGAGGAGATGCCAGAGAAAGTGACCCAAAATGCGTCGCTGGTGGTAGATGACTACTACAGTACTGTGGAGGGGCATGAAGAAGATGGAGGGGATTTTGACGATGAGTGGCTGGCAAGAGTGCTGCTTACTTGGGGTCATGTGGTGGACGCTAGTGAGTGGTTTTGATTTTAACAGAAAATGAGAATGTGTTACCTTTTCTTTAGTAGTACTAATCGGATCCAATTAGTGCTTGTACTTAAATAAG